GATGATGATGATGATGATGATGATGATGATGATGATGATGATGATGATGATGATGGTGCGTGCGTAATGGCAAACCGCATCGACCAATTATGTCATGAACGCTCCATGTCTCAATCATCTTGAAGCCATTGCAATTGCGCCCTAAATAGCTCCGAGTTGCTCCCGGTGCACCTCTTCCCAATTGGTAATCGGATACAAGCAAACGAAGTGCTAAATATTGTGATAGCATGCAGGATCATTTGGAAACATTGCTGACTTTTGTCCGTCATATCTACCGCTTGTTTTTCTTCAGTGTTTTTCTGAAAGTCCCTCCTCTTCTGTTCGGCTGATAAATAGACACGCGCTCTTGATATTTCCCTTCCTTGTCTGCTCATTTCGCAATTTAGGCATCAATCGGAATCAAGTGCTCGGCAGTTCGGATCCCGGTAAAACACAATCGTCGACCAATTTGCCCACATTGGAACAAAGCGGTGTAAATACGAATCAGTTGTTCGCCAATTTACTGAAAGATGATTCTCAGGTACAGTGTTCAGGATATTAACCTTTATTTGTCCTGATTTAGGATATATAATTACAGTCCATCTCCAGATGTCACACCTATGAGGAGTCGCATTTTTTAATAAGTTCCCACTGTGCGGTAAACACAAACCAACCATATAGGTAGGAACGTAGGTCCCCGCTATGCAGTTCCGCCTTCTCATTGTGTCGCACTTTCCGATATTTACTCACTTGGTCGCTGACCGATGGACTGACTGACCACTGACCAATTAGAATGTCGCATCCAGCTACTGATGTTCTACCTAATGTAACGCACATATGAGTTTCAGTTTTTGCTACCATTAATCATTCACATCGGTGTGGTGGTCTTGGTTGCTGTCTCTAGGCCGCCCATTTTGATGAACGAGCAGAAGGTAGATTGCAATGTTGAGAGCAACGTCGAGAAGATGGAGAATTCATATAGACTAGGGTTGCTAGGATATTGATTGGATGCACGAGTGTCATTGTTTACAGCACAACTGTATCATTCAGAGTTTCTAGCCACCGATTACCATCCATCCAGGGAACCTAATGGCCGAGTTTCCTGGTTTCCAGACCCTCATACGATGTCTTAGTTTGATACATGAAGCTGTTCACTAATTGGTTAACTCTTGTGAGGAAGACACGCAGATTCCAGCACTCCAAGATCTAGCGATGTGCAAGCGCCTGTCTATCAAAGAGAAGCAGAATGTGTTACAAATGTTGAACGAGCCAGACCTATGTGGCAAAAGCAGCTGGTATTTCAAGTAAAGCTGTTTACACCGTTATAAGCAATCGAACAGTTGTCGAAGAATTTGTCAACTCTAATGCACCTCAGAAAGGATGCTACGTGAGGATCAACGATGAGTTTAAGGTTGTTTAATGATGCTATGAAGTAAATGGATATTGAGTTCCAAATGGTGAGGAGCATCGTTTCAAAAATAATGCATCAAGAAAGCCTTCCAAATTCTGGTTTCGCTTTTGTTCAGGCAGATATGGTAATCAGTCCTACAGAGTAATAGCCTGGCATTTGTTTGAGTTTACTACCTGATGCGGTGGACGAATTTCGAGTGGCGTTATCGCATTTGATCTATGGATATGCTGATTGTGATATTTTCTATGGTTAAACAGGTTCATAATACAGGCAGCTCCAAGGAAAGAAGCATCTTACTACTTTTTTCGAGCGTGACTGGAAAACAGCTATCACCGAAGCGCTGTTACAAAGTTGGCTTTTTGATATCAGCTACAAGATGGTTTTTGAAGGACGCTCTACTTCACTATAAATGATGTCCCCTGTCAGAAGAAATCCGCAGCATTCTGGAATGTAAAATTAACATGATTGCCTCCCAATTACTCTCTAGTGTTACAACTAGACGAGGATCTTATTTGGTCTTTCAAATGTCCCTTCCTGAAATACCTACCGCAATACGTTATGTTTTTGGTAGAAGATGAGCAATCTAACAAAAAAACCGAAATGACCATTCTCGTTGATGCTTGGATACCTGTTCATGCGTGTGAACTGATCAACACTTTCATAAAAGCGGGGTTCAACCCCACCTTGCATCAGTCGGTGGTACAGCCACCAGAGGATCTGTGCGATCTGATCGAATATTTTATGCGTTACGTATCTATTGATGAGCGTCTTTTTGAAGAAAAAGTATCTTATTTAGATTGGGTGGAAATGAACATCGGTATTTTTATATTGGATTTGTTCGCGAAGTCAGTTCCAGTCAGTCATGTCAACTAGCTGATGCATGACGTAATGTTCGTATCCCTCCAATACCTAAGAAATAAAAGAATTTTCGGACTATTGCCTCGTCCTCGGTACTACTTATGACTTCTGAGCCAACTATTATTTAGACACTTTCCCCTTCTATTGTTCCTTGCGATTCCAACCAGTTCGCCTATTATGAGCGTCGACCTACTGTGGATGTCGTTTTCTATCTTACACAGTCCGTTTTATCCATAGTCGACCGAAAACACAAGACTGTTCATCTTTGCTTTTTGTACTGTACAAACGCTTTTATCTCAGTTGAAAGAAACACCTTACTGACGCCGTTACAACAACAGAATCCCCCACTTCATCTGTTAAGTTTGGCGCATGAC